ATAACTATGACCCGTCTAAGAAATGCGATTATCATATGGGCGAGGTGGGGCACTCAACTGACGATTGTTTTACCCTCAAGCACAGAATCCAGAACCTCCTGGACACGAAGGCTTTCTCGTTTCAACTCGCTAAGCCGAATGTTCAGAGCAACCCACTCCCTGATCACGCGAGTAATGTGAATGCTATATTTAGTTTCGATGCTGGTCGAATAAAAAATGTCAAGCTGTACACCGCCGACGTCTACGGTGGAAGCCGAGTGATGAGGCGCCTCCTCTAACCGTCATGAAGAAAAGAATCTCTGAAATGGTGGAAGCCGGGATGATTGTTTATGCTGACCACACTGGCATCGTTTCCACTATTTCTGAAGTGGTTATTAATTGGGAAGAAGAGTTTACTACATTGAACACCGGGAAGGACAAGTTCGACCCTTTGCTTGAAGACATGCCTCCGCTCGAAGACGCATCCGATGATGAAGAGATCGTAGTAAGCACGCCTATAGCTGATGAAGGGATAGTGATCGAGATACCTCAACCATATGAATACAGTGATAATAAGGCAGTCCCTTGGTCTTACAGTCTCGATGTCGACTTGGTTACCAGATCTGGGCGTACCTATGGCCAAGCTAATGCTCAACCTGCAAAACCTGTTACTGATGAAGAAGTCAAAGAGTTTCTAGTTGTGATTAAGGCTAGCGAACACAACATAGTTGAACAATTGCGCAAGATGCCCACGCAAATCTCTCTCCTTGAACTACTCCAGACATCTGTCTAGCATCAGAAGGCCCTAATGAAGGTGTTAAGTGAAGTCCACGTGCCAGAAACGATCGATCATGACAAATTGGAGGAGTTTGTGGGTTCTATACTCCTCAAAGACCTCATAGCCTTCTCAGATGAAGAGTTCCCTCTGGAAGGGAGGGGACATACCAAAGCACTTTATATTTCTGTTAAATACAAGGCCTCACATGTAGCCCGGGTACTCATTGACAACGGATCAGCCTTGAACATCTGTCCTTTGGCGACTTTACACCGCCTCAAGATAGATCCTTCTAGGATAAATTTTGCGAAGACCTCTGTGCGAGCTTTTGACGGAACGAAAAAAGAAGTGATGGGAGAAATCCACCTTGACATACAGATAGGACCAACAATGTTCAACACCCTATTTCAAGTTATGGACATTCCCACTGCATTCAATTTTCTATTGGGTCGTCCATGGATTCATACTGCCGGAGCTGTGCCATCCAGTCTGCATCAGAAGGTGAAGTTCATTGTGGAGAGAAAGTTAGTCACAGTCCACGGTGAAGAAGAACACCCAATTTACCACGCGACTGCTATCCCTTATGTTGAGCCGGATTGCAAAATTGAATCGAGCTATCAGTCGCTCGAGCTCGTGTCGACCATACATGCGTCTAGAGGATCATCACCGCCCATTCCTGAGGTGTCAAATGCTGCAGTCATGGTTGGAAGAGTAATGGTGTCCCATGGCTTTACTCCGGGTGAAGGCCTTGGTAGGAATGATCAAGGTATCCGCCAACCGGTGGAAGTCTCTCAGAGGCCCCACACTACTGGGTTGGGATACCAGGGGTCAAACGAGCCAAATAATGGGGGACGTGGATGTGGACGTGGATGTGGACGTGGACGCAGTCGAGGTCGAGGTCGAGGAGATGGACAGAATAGTCAGCGATCCGAAGAAGAGCCGAATGGTGAAGTACGTGGGCGTGGTAGGTTGCTTCCACACATCCGTGCCACATTCCTAGGCCCTGCAAGAATGATGCATGAAGAGAAAGAGGTGATCGACACTTTGGGGCAACCGAGCGGCAAGTTTGATTATTATGTGAAATACTCGGCGCCCCCGAGCTTCTATGTTGACCCCTGTGACATTGTCCCGGATGGATGGGGAGGTATGGATGATCCAACACCTCTAATGACAGAAGATCCTGATGATGCAATAGATGGAATCACTACCTTGTTCGATGATCTCTTCATTGGAACTATCGAAGAAGGACCGCTGGAGGGAATGGGCACTGGCCCGCAAGAGTAACACCTTTACTTTTTTTTCGCACACTCCCCTGCGTGGGAATTTTTACTGCTTTCTAGGACTTGCCCTATTTCGGGAGCTGCTTTTTAGGATTTTTCATTTCTAGGTCTCACCGTTGCAATTTCCATTCAATAAATGTAATTCATTTGGAGATAATCAATGAAATTACAAATTATTTTCATTTTTGAGGGCATGTTGAGGTACATCAAACCAGCCCGGTGATGATATCCAACCGATAAAAGAAAAATATAGTCCAAGGAGAATTCTGAGGCCTGGGCTTCTTCATGCTTCCTCGTGTTAAAACTTTTTTGAAAAGAATTTCGAAAACAAGTCAAAAAAAAAATCAAAAGAAATGAAAATACACAGTTTAGCCCTGTTTGTCCTTCTGAACCCCCTACTTTATGTTTCAGGGGCAATCTTGTGACACATGAGGGTATGGAAACGATCCAATCTGATGAATTATGTGCCACCGAGCCTGATCTCGATGACACCAATGAACTCGAAGATTCCTCGGACCTTCAGCGTGATCTAGAGCATCATGAAAGACCTAAAGTCCTAACGGTAGACCAAACTATCACTGTCAACTTGAGTGATTCCGGAGAACCCAAAGAGGTGAAGGTAGGGGCAACCCTTCCCGAAGGTGAAGCGAAACGCTTGGTCCAACTGCTGAAGGATTACCAGGATATCTTTGCCTGGTCGTATACCGATATGCCGGGTTTAGACCCTTCTATTGTGGAGCATAGTCTACCTACTAATCCGGACATGCCGCCCAAGAAACAGAAGCTGCAAAGAACCAAACCTGAACTTTCAAAGAAGATAGAGGAGGAGGTCATGAAACTTTTGAAAGTAGGGTTTATTGAAGTCACCCGATACCCCAGTTGGGTGGCCAACATCGTGCCAGTCATGAAGAAAGATAGCCGAGTTCGAGTTTGCATCGACTATCGTGATCTAAACAAGGCCAGTCCTAAAGACGATTTCCCATTGCCACATATAGACGTTTTGGTGGACAGTACTGCTGGTTCGAGCTGTTTTCCTTCATAGATGGTTTCTCGGGTTATAATCAGATAAAAATGAAGGACGATGATAAGGAGAAAACAGCGTTCATCACTCCATGGGGGACATTCCACTATAAGGTCATGCCCTTCAGCCTTAAAAATGCCGGGGCAACATATCAACGGGCAATGGTGACGCTTTTCCATGATATGATGCATAAGGAAATCGAGGTCTATGTCGATGACATGATCGCCAAGTCTCAATCTGGGAAGAGTCACGTCGATACCTTGAAGAAATTATTCGAGAGACTTCGTGAGTTTAAGCTTCGTCTCAACCCAACGAAGTGCATGTTTGGAGCAACCTCGGGCAAATTACTCAGATTCATAGTAAGCAGTAAGGGCATTGAAGTTGACCCCTCCAAAGTGAAGGCTATATGTGAGTTACAACCTCCATCGACCGTGAAAGAAGTGCGAAGCCTCCTGGGTAGATTGAACTACATAGCCCGTTTTATTTCTCAGCTCTCCGAAACCGCTAAGCCATTCTTCAAACTTCTAAGGAAGAATGCTCAAGTGGAATGGGACGATGATTGTCGGGAAGCGTTTAACGAACTAAAGCAGTACCTGATGAAATCACCGGTGCTAGTCCCACCAATGTCGGGCCAGCCTTTGATCCTTTACCTCACAATTCATAGCGAATCTCTAGGTGCGATGCTGCCCAGAAAAATCCTGAAGATGGAAAAGAGCGAGCCATTTATTACCTAAGTAAGAAGTTCACCGTTTCGGAGTTGAATTATCCTGAAGCCGATAAGACTTGCGTTGCACTAGTATGGGTGCTCCATAGGCTGCGACAATATACACTGCATCATCAGACTTTGCTTGTGGCTGAGAACGATCCCATCAAGTATTTACTTGATCAACCGGCTTTGGTAGGGAAGTTAGCCAAATGGCAGATTTTAATTTCAGAGTTTGATGTCCAGACGATGCCACAGAAGTCAGTTAAAGGTCGAGTAATTGCTGATGTGTTAGCTGAAAATCCTGGAATCCCTGATGATGATAGATATTCTCCAGAAGATCGCATTTTGGTAATAAAGAAAGACACATGGACCATGTTTTTCGATGGAGCTGTAAACTTGGCTGGTTCCAGCACTGGGGCAGTTTTAATATCCCCAAATGGGCAACATTATCCAGTAGCAGCAAAGTTGGTGTTCCCCTGTACCAACAACATAGCCGAGTACGAAGCTTGCATCCTCGGACTCCAAGCCGCAGTAGAAATGGGGATAACCAAGTTGAAAGTGTTTGGTGATTCCGCTCTGATTATTCTCCAAATTGTAGGAGAGTGGAAGACGAGAGACACCAAACTAGTGCCGTACCATGAATACCTCGAAGAAATCATGGAGGAATTCGAGGATATCTCCTTTGAATACTTATCAAGATCCCATAATCAGTTCGCTGATGCACTAGCTACATTATCATCCATGCTGCAAGTGACTGGTGGATTAGAGGTAGAACCCTTGAAGATCGAAGTCCTGACAAAACCAGCCTACTGTATGATTGTGACCGAAGAACCTGACGAAAAGCCATGGTATTACGATATCATGAATTACATCCAGAGACAAGAATTTCCTGAGGGAAGCACCCCAGCCGACAGGAAGTACATAATGAAAATGGCTTCAAAATTCTTTGCCAGTAGAGAAAAGCTGTACAAAAGATCCTATAATTCGATCCTGCTGAGGTGTGTGGACGTAGCTGAAGCCACTAGAATCATGCAAGAACTACACGAGGGGATATGTGGTCCACACATGAATGGCCACATGTTAGCTAAGAAGATCATGAGGTTGGGTTATTATTGGCTCAGTCTTGAAAGTGACTGCATCCAGCATGTTCGAAGATGTCATTGCTGTCAGGTTCACGGGGATAAAATAAATGTTCCCCCGACGTAATTACATCAGTTGTCTGAGCCATGGCCCTTTTCAATGTGGGGCATCGATGTGATTGGCCCAATTAATCCCAAGGCATCAAATGGACACCGATTTATCTTGGTCGCGATTGATTATTTCTCCAAGTGGATTGAGGCGGCATCTTATGCAAACGTCACTGCAAGGAATGTTGTAAGATTCATCAGGCGAGACATAGTCGCTCGTTATGGTGTCCCCGAGGCTATTGTCACCGACAATGGGACAAATTTGAACAACAAGTTCATAGATCAGTTGTTCAACGAGTTCAAAATCCGGCACCTAAATTCATCTCCCTATCGTCCACAGATGAATGGAGCAGTTGAAGCCGCTAACAAAAACATCAAGAAGATCCTGGCCAAAACGGCTGAAAACTATCGTGACTGGCATGAAAGGTTGCCATTTGCACTAATGGCGTATCGGACTTCGATCCGAACCTCTGTCGGGGCAACCCCTTTTTCTTTGGTGTATGGCATGGAAGCAGTCCTGCCCGTCGAAGTAGAGATCCCTTCCCTGCGAGTCTTGTCTCAAGTGGAGTTGTCCGAGGCGGAATGGATGCGACAAAGGCATGAGCAGTTGAACTTAATTGATGAGAAGTGATTGAAAGCCATTTGCCACGGTCAAACCTATCAGCAGAGGATAGCTAGATCCTTCAACCAAAAGGTGCGTCCAAGACACTTCGAGGTAAATGATCTAGTCCTAAGGAAGGTACTGCCAGTCTTTCCTATTCCTGGGGGTAAATTTGCCCCAAACTACATTGGTCCATATGTGGTTAAAAAGGTGCTTCCCGGAGGTGCCTTGATTCTCGCAGAAATGGATGGTCGTGAGTTCTCCACTCCTGTTAATTCTGATGCTGTGAAGATGTATTACCCCTGATAAAATCTAACATTTTACAGCAAAAGTTTTCAAGTGTTTGGTTTTATATTCTGAATTGCAAACATTTCACTGATGAATAAATGGTTTCAGTTAAGAAGTATGCATTGGCTTTAAATTCTTCTTGATCATTTTGTCAGTCTGCATCATTGATTTCAAAAGGGGAATCTATTTGGACAATCCGATAACTCATTGAATGTGTTGAATGAGGTACATCGGGATGATGAAAGGCAAGCCCTATCCTATATACAGTCCCATGCACTAATCCCCAGTGAGTTGAGTGGAAAAATTCCATGTCTGCAAGGTAAAGGGTTCTCTCGCGAAAGGTACGGCGACCAAAACGTCAAGAGGCATTTCATTTCTCTATCCTAAACAATACAGGTTATCCATTGTTTCGCCACTTTGAGCCCAAACACTTGGTGAAGTTCTTTCAAATTACCCATGTCAAGAACCACCCCAAATCGGGGCAAACTGGAGGTAAGCTGACATCGCGAGGTGAGAAAAATGGATAGAAATTTTTTTTGCTCACACTTGCATCAATCTTCAAGTGTTGCTATTGCAAATGAACTCAAACATTAATTCAAGTGCCTTAGGCTGATGAAGAGCGGTTCTTTCTCTATCCTACACACTTTATCCATTGCTTAGCCCACTTGAGCCTGCAATTTCATTTCATAAAAACCCAGTTGGTGATCATCCCCCACACTTCGGCAAGGCAAAAGTCATCACTATCCACGCAGCATATCCGAAGCGCCGATAGAAGACAAAGACCCTGAAAGTCCAGATGTTAATCATTCGGTCAAAACAAGCCAAAGGGTGGTTGGCCAATATATGCATTGTAGACAGTGTGTGTCAAAAGTCAAAAATAAAAAAAATAAAAAAAAACTAGGGGGCATGAAAAAGCAGTGTGCCTGATAAAAGCAAGGCCAATGCCCATGAAAAAAAAATGAAGGAAAAGGAGAGAACTTCGGAGTAGAAAATGTTAAGATGTGTCAAAGTCATCCACAGTCTTAAGGAGTCAAGTGATAAGCTCTCGAGGCCAATGGAGCATCTACCGAGAAGACAATCCCTGGCAAAAAGAGGACCGGTGATAATGCCTAGATGATCACCAACTCTCACCCCAATTATACACATTTTGAGCCTAATGATCCATTCATTTCTCAACTCATGAGCCTAGCCTACGTTACGTCCCTTGTAAAGTCTCTTCAGATTAGGGCACTTGAACTAATGTAGGATTCAGATGTTTATAAGCTTAGCTCGAAGAAGTGCGAGCAAGTCCATTTCTATCTCATTTTGCAGGGTTCTTGACTTGTAAACCCGGAGACGATTGCGGAGTATTGTTCTTTCAATAGCCTTGACTCAAAAAGTCCCCTTTTGCTAAGCCATTGACCAAGCCCATGTTACGATCCTGACAAAGACCTCTCAGATTGGTAAGGTTGTACCGCTTGCGAGAATACTCGGACCCTTGTCCACATGATAAAGGTGAGATGGAGTGATTCTCATAAATTAGCCGCTTTTCGATGAAAGTGAGTGAAAACCCTTTCAGACCGGAAGTCCCTCATTTGACATTTTTAAGACACCCACTTGTGAGTTCGGATTGTCTTATCATGATTTTCCTCAGTGAAATTTAGTAATGCTGATTTGACAAAATCGTCATGCATGAAAACCAGTTGAATCTATAGTACATGAGCATATGCGTCCTTGATTATCCATGAATGCATATTACATGTTGCCCAAAACCGTGTCCAGCAGGAGACACGCCCTCAAGAGTCGGAGATTTCACCAGGTAAGTATATCTCTATCCCTTGGATGTTTGCGACTATCCAGGTATCCCTAACCTGTTCGAGCAATTGTTAGGTCCCATATTTGATCGTTTTGTTGCGATCTCTAGACGCCTCTAACGATATCTAGGCATCTATTGATCAAGTCTTTTTAGGTACCTATGATGATATCCAAGTACTTTGTCAAGAAACCCCTGAACATTCGGGCTAGCCCCTGGTTCAGCAATTGTTAAGTACCCGCTAAGTACCCGCGACAATATCCAGGTATTTATCGATCAAGTCCTTTCAAATATCTTAGATGATAACTAGATATTTTGTTAGGCACACTTTTCACATAGTCTCAGAAGATATTCCCCCGTGACGTGCCTATGAGGGAAGGTATAGGCACAGCGGCCAAATCTTTACAAATGCCTATGGCGATGTATAGGTATCTCGTAAAGGTCGGAATATTCTCCCAATCTCAGAAGATGTTCCCCCGTGACATGCCTATGAGGAAAGGTATAGGCGCAGCGGCCAAATCTTTACAAATGCCTATGGCGATGTATAGGTATCTCGTAAAGGTCGGAATATTCTTCCAATCTCAGAAGATGTTCCCCCGTGACATGCCTATGAGGAAAGGTATAGGCGTAGTGGCCAAATCTTTACAAATGCCTATGACGATATATAGGTATCTCGTAAAGGTCGGAATATTCTCCCAATCTCAGAAGATGTTCCCCCGTGACATGCCTATGAGGAAAGGTATAGGCGCAGCGGCCAAATCTTTACAAGTGCCTATGGCGATGTATAGGTATCTCGTAAAGGTCGGAATGTTCTCTCAATCCCAGATGTTCCCCCGCGGCTCACCTATGAGGAAGGTATAGGTGAAACGGCCAAATCTTTACGAATACCTATGGTGATGTATAGGTATCTCGTAAAGGTCGGAATATCCTCTCGATCTCGGAAAGTTCCCCCGTGTCGCACCTACGATGATAATTAGGTGCAGCGGCCAAATCTTTACGAATACCTATGGCGATGTATAGGTAGTTTGTAAAGGTCGGAACATGTTCCATTTTGCTAAATCTTTCTCTCGAGAACCCCAGATGATAACTGGATATGTCGAGCTTTCTTCGTGTGTCTTGACTGAATTGTAGGTCACCGGAGTTCATCAACGTTCATCAGGCAATACCTTTGGGATAGGGTCCAAACATTTGCCAAACAATCTCAAGGATCATGGCAATGCCTCAAATTACTTCACCACTCAAGTTAGGTAAGTAATTCCAGATATGTTTTCTATTTTACGCCATTATCCATCATGACATATTGCATTTCAAAATGGGACTCATATTCCCACCAAAAACAACATTCATTGCATGGTCAAAATTTAGGTATCATTTAGTCTTTGAATGCAACCTCTTTGAGCTCACCTTCAAAGAGGAGTAGCTGTTGACACCTAAATTTTAACTAGTCATTTAAGAACAATCGCATAGAAAATTAGGGATTGATTTTTTAACTCCTAAACAAAAAATATAATTAGATGGCATTGCATATAGATATTAGGAGCGTTTCATTAATAGTTAATTAGGCCCATATAGTTTGCACATTTATCGGACATACGGCAGATGGACTCGAGCGAATGGTTCTGATCTTAATTCAATCAAGCCCATGACCAAAAGTCACATGTTTTGCACGTGTGATCTTCGGTTGCAAGAGATCTTCTGTATATATATTTTTCTGCCACTTGGAGGACCGAGAAGGAAGGGAGATTCATTATATTTGGCCATATTGTCAGAAGATAGGAGGGGATAATATCCTATCCGCACGTATCTTTAATCCATGGACAGTAATTGGCAATATATCTTTTGGAAATTCCATTAAAAAATCTTGGGCATCACGAAAAGATAAGTGGGAAACATTCTTCACCAAGGCGAGGGCAATATATCAGCAGATTTTGTTTCTTGGTATCTTTGTGCAAAGAAAAAATATATGAAGGATACAAGAAGAGGAAAGCAGAATCGGTCAACGTGGGGATATATAGTTGGAATTACGTTCTGGCGTCATAGGCGCAAGCGAAAAGGAAAGAAGCCAAACGTAATATGCTTTAAATATTCTTGAGTGGGTCTCTTTCTAAAAAGGCATAGGCATTCTCACTTATAAAAGGATCACGTACAGACAAGAATGGGGGCTTTTTCTTTTGGAGAGTTGGACATACGAGAAAAACACAGGTGAGATTGAGAGAAAGAGTTCGCTGCGTACGCGTGCTACCGCTATGCCACGCTGCCCTTCCGCTGCGTCCGCGACGCCCTACTGCCGAACCCGCGTCACCTGACGCCCACCGCCTCGCCGCCGCTGCTTCTGGAGCTACTGTGGCTCCTGCACCGATCTCCACCTACCGCTGCTACCACCCAACCACGGTGAAGAGCCGTTGTTGTTAGCTCAACGACGCTGCTGTCCCGAAGCCCTGCCGACGACCTGCTGCCCCAATCCGACGATTCACTTTTGCTGTTGCTATTCTTCGTGAATCGTCCCTGTTGCTGTTCTTCGATCAGTGACGCTCTGCTTGTCACCGACACGTCAAGCAAGCCCTGACATTCCACGGTCAAATATCTGAGGAGTCAACCTACAAACAAATCATTCACTTTCTTGCGAAGCATCGTCACTGGTCATCCTCACCGCGATTTTTGACATGAGCCGCTCGAGTATCACCTGCCTTGACCGAGCATCAACGTGACCTTCGAGCAGCATATCGAGAAGACGAGCCCACTGTGAGCCGTGCCGTGTCCTCACCAAAACAGACCAGCAAAGTTTCTGTTTTTGCAGGTTGTTGATCGTCGAACCGAGCCACCACAACTTGTTGCCTTTGCCAAACACCACTGCGACACCGTTGCCGGTCCGTCCCACCGCCGCTCGTCCCGATCCGCAATCCCGATCCGCGAGTCCAAATTTGGAAATATCTCGAAATTAGGTAAGAAT